CCGAATTGTACCGAATTACTGATTAAGTTAATTGCAGAGTAGTATTGAGTTATGAAAATATGTTGAACATAAGTTCTCTGAGGAAAAATTATGTAAATTAAACAAAACATCGACTGAAAAAAGAACAAGTCAAAATCTATCATACATTCAACGCAGACTCGACGCTAGAGGACAAGATCTAAGAATTCCACTTCTAACAGTGGTTCGGAATGGACCTTTTACATGATTATACAGGGCGGAAGAAAGCTAGATTCACAGCAAGGAAAGATAACTTTGGAAAGTATTAAAAAGGGGTAGACTTACCATTAAAAAAGGATGTTGGTGTTTAGTAAGTACAAATGCTGTTTCAACGTATTTAGCGGTTGCCTAGTTGTATACCTTGTTTTTTTTCGACTGTCAGCCGTCCTGTCCTGTGTGTATTCGGCATGTCCGAGCGCCCACCAAACGACATTGTTAATAGCTAGAGAAATAGCTACCTAAAAAAATGATCTCTTGGTGCCTAGATATATGTGACGCTAAGGAAAAGTTTCCCAAATGTCAGTTACATGTGGGCTGTTATAGTCGACAAAGTATTACCAAAAGACTTAGACAAGATTAAATGTCTAGTACAACTCCTAAGAATCATTAATGAAGGGGTACTGAGATGGTCCCGCCGAGTGTTTCAAAAGCGCCCAATTGCAGCCGCATGAGCAATGTGCCAAGACTCGATTGCCACTGCAAACAGCTTTTCGTGTCTCGATGGCCGCGCATTTCCATTACAAATTATAATAAAAAATAAAATTAGAAGAGTTTTGAATGAAGCGCAATTTGCATGTTGTAACACATAAAAATACGTTTTTTTTTTTTTTTCTAAATGACGTCTCCGCACGGAGAGGATGCCAGTCAGATAGAGTTTCTTTGAACTTCGACATCCATACTATACTTGCGACTCTCTATAGACAATCCATATACCTTGAATAGTCAGATAAACCCATTATTCCTTGCCACTCTGCAGTATCGTCCAAAATTAACTAAAACAGAGAGGTTGGGTATGCATTTTAATGTGTACTCAGCTGAATTCTTGTTTCCACAATGACCATAAACAGGGGCGCTCTTGTACATAAGGTCACGAAAAACAGTAATCAACGCGTGTCTTCTTGTTCTTGTGTACCGATATTGCTCAAACAATATGCGAACATACTATATGACGAAAAAATTTTAGGCTTTTTTTTCTAGGCCACATTCTTGACCCTTTTTATGGACGATTCAGAGGTAACTGAACACTTTGCAAGCTTTTTCCCTAAGAATTTCTCATTTACCATTCCGTAATCGTGCGCCATGGAACATTTATCTAAAAGTGATCGACGTAGTTCGAGCGTACTTTCTCTATCCTACAAACCAATAAGGATTTCCTTTGACTTGTTGAGTTATTCAGGCTTGCCTAAAATTTTGAATTGGGCAGGTTGTGGACCTGAGCCGAACTGGGAAGTATTTGTTCACTCAAAAATCTTAAACCTAGCAGTTTAATAGGCCTGCATTGATTCTCAACGTATGCATACTGAGCTCGGCATTTTCGAAATGGTGTTTTGTACAATAAACGACGCCTAAAAAGATCGACCGAAAGATCTATTATTTGACCAACTTGCGCTAATTTTTTTTTCGAAGGATAACAAAAAGACTAGACTTTTCCATGGTTGGTGGAAACTTCGAGACGCAAAGCCTCACCATCCCCCTCGACCCCCTTTAATTAGTTGCTCTGGTGGAGCGGAAATTTTTAAAACAAGTTCGAACAGAATTCACGAAAGGAAACTGAGTGAAGCGATTGAAAATGCAAAATGTGTCCTGCTTGATTACAGCCATCGATCGCCTAAAGCGAAATAAAGTAGGTAACCCTCTCTCGAGCGGGTTGAGGTCTAGAACTCTTGAAGCGCGATCCGACAAAACAGTCTGGTTAGATATGCGTCCAAAATAAGCAAATGACTTTTTGCATTGAGCTTTCTCTGCTTCTACCGCAAGGCAGGTCGTCTTAGTTTACCCACTTGGAGAGGTATTGGGTTGAATGCATTATTAACTGGGGTTTTTGCTAATGCATTGACCTAAATAGTAGTCAGATTATGCCCCTACTGGCTTCAATCTGCACACTAATAAGTGTTTCAATTATGAAATATTGCAGTCTATTAATAATGATACGTTGCATAGCATAGGAGCCGGTCCAAAAGTATAGTCTAAAATTGGTCCTTGAATAGTCTTTATTCACGGTTAGTGTGTGGCTATGTACTCAGGTTTTTCGTGTCCGGCTTTTTAGAATAAACGGAGGGTAGATACAAGGAATACGTGCTGAATTGGTCCTAACTATGAAACTTCCTATGATAAAAAAATCTTCTCTGACTAACTACACACAGTGTGATCTTCGACGCACTAATGAATTTTTCTAGATCTAGCTAGAAGAATACACTATATATATATATATATATATATATATATATATATATATATATTTATATATATATATATATCTATATAGACGGTATATTTTTACCTCAGTTAAATTAACTGCCGGACATCTAAATACTCTATAGTTTACCTCTAATATAGAAACGAAACCTTCTTTACAACATCACATTTGGCATTTTTTTCATGTTCTGACAGTAATGTATGCGACAGGATAGGTCCTGTTTTAATAAGCTCGAAATAAAAATCGTTTTCTTGTACAAATATAGGTTTCTCAAGTTTATAGTATTTGACCTCCTGGCTGTACACAGTGCTGTATACTTGCATATATATATATATATATATATATATATATATATATATATATATATATATATAAAATCCTGAGTAACGAAGCAGAGGGCTGTCAGTGATCAAGTGGGGCATATTTTCTTAATCAGCAATCATCACACATTGACATTTTGTAAAAAAAAATAGCTGATATAGTTATTTATTTAGGAGAGGAGACACAATTAAACAAACAACATTGCTTTTAAGCATGCGAAAGGTATTCATTCACAGATTATGGTTTCATTCATTTACCATGGTTCGATAGTATCATTGACTCTAGCACATAGGCAGAGATGTCAGACGAATCCACAAATAGACTAGCTGAATTGTCAATGAATATAAGCTAGATTTTATCTTTGTTGGTATTTGTTTAGTACGCTGGTCGCAAGAAACAACGCAAAAGCTAAACAAAGTTCCGTGAAGAGGTTGTGTGTCGAAGGGAAATAACAGTGTCAAAGATAGGACGAGCGTTCTTAACAGTGTTCGTAGCTATTTAAAGGTTACGAGGACGATGGCCATTTACCGAAGGTGTAAGCCACTTTTAATTTCGACAATAGAAGACGAAATGGAGTAAAAATAGCGTGACCTAATAAAATTTTCCAAGTGCTAATAAAGAACGACATACAGGTCCCACCAGCACTCAATAAGTCGTTTTCTTCTTCTTCTTCTTCTTGTTTTTTTTTCCAATTAAGTACCCTCTAACAGACTAAGTCGTTGAAAATACTATTTACATCAAACGCTCGGATCGTTCCGACTACAAAAAGCAGGTCGATTCCTGTATGAATTTTTTGGAAAATGTTTGAGGCTGAATAAAGCGACTGGAGTTCGCATTTGTATATAAAAACATTTGTGTCCATGAAAGAAAGGGTCGCCTTGAGGTCTGTCGTTTTTTTTTTTTTTTTTTTTGTAGAATCGCGCCCTCAGCAACTGTGTTTGGTTCTATATATACATATATATAATTTTTCGCGTCAGTAGCCGCGACGGGAGGGAGGAAGGCCTTTTGGAATTATTTTCCAAATATTATATTGTTCGATCTCCCACATTTACCCAAAGTTATTACAAACTCATGGTCATGATATCTTGTTTTGCTATAGACGTTTGTCGCCATTTTAGACAGGTACAATCTCTCTAACCCAACAGCAATTTTTGAATTTACGGCACTTTTTTCGATTTACCATACCCCCGCTCCACAACCCCAGGCGTTTCCCCTTGCACTGTCTCGACTCGCGGAGCCTCATTGTATGCTGCTTCTCCAAGGTTTTCGTTGTCTTAGATCGATGAATGGCTAACCACATTCTAGGAAATACCCACCCTACATTTTATACTATGATTTATTGTCCTCCGCTAAAACTTTTGCAAGTTCGCCCGTCTTCTATTCTATGATTTCAGCTTTGTAGCGTAGTAAATAAAAGAAAAACAACTACAAATACTACAGCCCTTTAGTCTGCAGGTTTGTGTTTTTACGTATCGCAAATGAATTTTATCGTGTATCCTAAGTAGGTATCTTTATAGCATTGTCGTCTGTAAAAAGTGTTTTGTTTTAGTCATTTTTCTTCTGTTTTAATATTCAGGTAGGTTTGCCTAGATAACAGGGCAACCGAATACTTTTGGAGCCCCTATACTCCATAAATATTCGATAAAACTGTTGTTTCGTACAGACTTGCTTGATTACCTATAACGATTCCGATTCAGCAGCATTACATCGCGGACAGCAACTTAAAGATGCTTTTAGAATTGAAAATGAACGCACTTTTGTACTACTAATAGCGATTCTTTATGCGTTTGTGATCATGCATATAGTCTAAATCTACACCGAGTAATTACTAAATAAAAAAAAAAAACTTGAAAAATAGTTAGACAACGAATGTAAGAGTGGCGGCCAGTGCTGGCGTAGTGCTTTTGTGTACAAACGTTTGCTAATTCTACTAATTCAAGCACATCGATCATATGGATGATACGACCAATTATCACACTTGACAAACAAGATGATGTGCGAGAACAGTCCGGAACGGTGCGGATTATTGCGAATACGTCAGAAATATCTTGACAGAAAAAAGTGACCGACGACAAAGTCGCATCCGTCAATACGCCCCCTGTGATATGGACGTCGCTAGCAAACGCTTTACAACCGAATGCACCCTGCTATGAATCACTATACCGTACCAGCAATTCTAGAATCACTGCTCTAAAAATCAACTTCGTTGTGCGTGATATATTCAAGGGTGTGGTGATATACTGACTGGTTAACGTGAGCATGAGCACGTTGTTTGAACGCTTGGTCATGACGGGACCTGGGCGTGAGGCGAATTCAGGCGGTACAGGCGTCCAGTCGAGGAGACGATTGATGTCGGCGTGGTGTTGTAGAACACGCGAGTTATAACTATGGCGACATCACTGAAATCCTTAAGCATGGCCACGAATGACGTCCACGTGAGGGTGTTTCAACCCCATACTGTCGGTGACGACAATGACGATGAGAAAGGTAATCCCCGCTGCACTGTCCTAGATGATACCGGAATTATTTTAGTTGCGCAGTACCACAAGGAGCCGCCGTAAAGGGTAACGAATAGCTGACCTTTCGTGAGAGCCCTGTATACGTGAGTCGAGTTGTTTTGACTATTGCTGTTATTGTTGTTACTGTCGCTTATCTCAGCGGTGACTGTTATTGTTTTCACTGCAGTTACGAACGACGCAGTGTGGGTCGTGCGCTCCGGAATAGGTATGGTTAACGATGAAAACCACAACGCTGAGTAGAACAGGAACGGGCGGCCCAAGTTTCGTATAGGGCCGTGCGATTTAGCTCGTTCAATTACAAACACTGTTACGGTTATTGCTTCTGCTGTTGACTTTGGCGTGGCTGTAGCTATCACCGCTCCTGTTGTTGTTGTTAAGATATTTGTATTCCGCGGATGGCTGCCGAAGGCCGAACTGTCGCCGTTGTTGCAGCCGTCATTGGATTGTGGGGTCCTGCAAAAACGCCGAGATTCCGTTGGCGGCCTTCAATGAATCGGCCTCCACGGACCTCACAGCACGTGCCCGGCTCCACCCCGCCGCAGCCCTACCACCCACTTTGGCAGCCCCTGGTGGCGCTCACCTGCAAGACATTACGGACAACGCAACGCAGCAGAACAACAAAAACGCTATGCACCAAACAGCCAGAGAAATGTGCCATGCAGTAACAAGCGCTTTATCACGCTGCTAATCAATATCTCATATGCAATACGTCTAATGTCTAACGAGTATCTAATTGGCATATTCGATGGAAAATTAAGCCAACAAAGAGCACGACGTCAATCAAAGGACGTATAGTAGATGTAGTAATCAACTTCAAATGGGTACATATTTTAATGGAAGGCCAACATGTGCTAGTGATATCTCAAAATAAGAAACAGTGATTTGGACAGAAAATCAAGCCATAGTATGAATGTGTGTGTGACCCGGTATATTATTGCTGTTTATGTTGAAAGCGAAAAAACACATACATCGTGGTGCATTAGCATTGCACGTATTTATAAGCTGGAGTATTCATCATTTCTGAGAGTACCTTTACGTAGCTGGCGAAGTCGTACATGGAAAAGAAAAGGAACGTGGCTGTTCAACGTTGCAATTCTATCCTATAATGATGATAAGAAATTGGTTTTCACAATGTATATATCTTATAGTAAGGTATACTTTTCTTTTCACGACTAACTGGAAAGTATTGTGTCTAAGTAACTTTTATAACAATTATTGAAGTACGTAAATACCAGCTTTTTGTTGAACAGCGGCCGTTTAACATGGCGTTTTTCCCTTTCGTCTTCGCATCTCCTCACGGGACGCGCTGACTAAATTGATATTCTCAGCATATTAGCGGGAGTCTGTCTGCTGCCGGTTGGCTTATTCACCGAGCTTAAAATGAAGTGTTTCTACCACGGATCTCACTGACCTTGCATTTAAGCTAATTCCAACTGCCGGACAAAGTGTTCGGGGTTGGAGCATGTTTGGGACTACTTTGTCGGTTGTTTGACTTACTGCAGCCTTTACAGAGCAACTCCACAGGTAGACGTTTGTAAACTACGAAGATCACCACCTGAAGGCGACCAGCAGTGAGGTCCTGAACGCCCAGTTTCCCTCTCTTACTCTTTCGTACTCAGTTGCAGTGACTTTTTGCTTCCCTTTACTACGTGACTCTTCACGTTCAACGAGTTAATGTAACTTTCACTTAGAGTTAGTCTAGGTTAGCGAGTTCGAAGAGCTGTGGGGAAATTCGGTAGACGAAACTACTCGTCTTGGCCCCAGCTTCGGGAAGTTGAAACACTTGAGCCTTTGGCGAACGACAACTCGAATGATAGGACGCGCGTTAAAGCGAGAGGGAGTGAGAAGAGACGACGCAAAAACAAGATGGTGACGGTGCTGCAGCAGACGCCCAACCGCTGTTCCACAAATTAGTGTAACAGTCAATGTCTGCACTGTTTCTACCCGTCTACTGTCGTTGTATCTACAATGCAGTCTTTCCAAGCAAGAATAAAAATGCGATAACTAATGATTCACTCCACTGGCGGTGAACGAACGCGTCCGGAATAGTGTCGGCTTGGCTGGAGAAGCGCTCTAATGAAGGGGCAAGGAGTGGTAACCCATTTTCAGCGACTCCGTTCAGGGTCGCTTAAGGGGGGGTTGTTTTTGTCTGTTCAGGGGAAAGTCTACTGACGCAGAAGGACGCAGAAGGGGGAGTCCATCAAACTGGACTATCCTTCGGGAACAACTTTGAAGTCCTGCGGTCCCTCCTTTTTGAGCAGCTTTCAGCAGGGCCAAAGAGCATTTACTCGATTGGGGAGCCAGGTTGCTCTTCCAGTATAGCGCATTTCCCCTGCACGCACAAGGTTTGGGCTTGAGATGGAGCGTCTAGTATGCGTCTAGGACACGTCTCGACGTCCAAGAATTTTCCTACGTGTTCAAATGTTTTCTCTATTTGCCTGAGCACTTGGTTTTGAAAGGTTAGTAAAGACGGCGTAAAAGAATGTTATCTAAATGGTTAAGGATTGGATATAGTAGAATGCGTAGGAAAACGACGCGTATTTCATTGGGCTCATTGTGATCATGATCTTTACAGAAGCACACCGCTGACCATGGCACATGATTATCTGCAATACCAACGTGTCTAGTAAAAGTACAGAAGGAAGATCCTTCTGTTCTGTGTTATTCCTTGAGGAATAACAGTCATAGCTTAGAGGCATAGAGGAACCGTCATAGCAGGACCGCTTCCTAATGACGTTTTCCTTCCATGTGATAGAGGACTAGGTAACGTGTTTGCTTATTAGGTCCGAATGCGGGCACAGACACGTTCTGTTGTGAGTCAGCCGTTTGAAGCAACACCTAAAGGTTTAAGTACCGTGCGTAAAATTCAAACATGCATTCATATTTACTTTCAGTGATACGTAAGTTATAATCGCCGTTCTCATGTTATCATCAACAGCGAATCCCCACTCCACCTTCACAGGTCCGGCCTCGACAGCTGCTATAGCCAGGTGCACTAGCCGCATAAGCTTTGCTTTACCGGCCTACTGGCCAGGATTTGCACTGCGGTGAGGCGGTGGCCTATACTGTACCCTAGTCTGGTAAGAGATGCGTTGATCCCTGTCATTAATTAATTCTCCTGAAACTAGTTATCGTGCCAGGAATAAGCTGACACCAGCCAGCCTCTGTGTGGCAAGTCAACTCCTGACCAAGCCATTACCTCTGTGAGCTCTGCCGCATCCACTAACTATACGTTGTCGAACGCTGTGGTGGGCTTAACTGTTAAAACGAGAATGTCGTTACTATATGTAGGGGAAATACGTGTGTCTGGCATTTCGAAATGATGGAACCTAAGGATCACTAGAAGTTCAGTCGTCTCCCCCCCCATCAATGCGCATCTGCAGTTGCAACGCGATCTTTCTGATGATTATAACAGTGACAATGAATCGCTGGTCCAAGGGGTATGACATTGTGATCGAACAAACAAGCAAAAAATCATATGAATATTGGTCGCCCGACGGCGTAAATTATCAGAAAATTTTTGCTGGGAACTGACAACCTAATATATAAACACAGTTCTTGTAAGACAGTTCGTTGCTTCATGTACAGGTTAGCGCTTAAGGGAGCTTTTTTTTTTTTCTTTAATTCAGCTCGTTTTAACTCAAGAATTGTTTTAACTTAGCTCGCTTTGCTTATATATATATATATATATATATCGCAAAGGATAGCGAAGGCTGGCAGAAGACTGAGATTCAGTACTTCCGCTTTGCCAGCATAATACTTCCTTATGTTATATGTAGCTAACGTATTTTTTCTGTTGATTCGAAGCTCACGACAAAGGAACCAGGGTACACTTATAGACTCAGAAAAGTCTTTGATCAAAGGATGATGATAGTTGCTGCGTAGGGTTGTCCGTAGTGCTTCTGTGAATAGTTCAAATAATCGGCAATAGATTTGAAGAAATCAAGCAAGGCGAAACCGGTGAATGCATTGCAAAAGGCTATTGGCAGTGGAGGCAATTGTAATCCCAGAAGGCTCCCACAACCATAAACATTTTTTTCTTGATTTACACGCGTTATGTAGTATGTGCCCCCGCCCCAAGCCATAAAACGGATAGGGGCATTTTAACTAACGAAGGTTTAGCACGAAATGTGCTGAGGTGTGCTGCACCTATTACAAGCGTGTGGTTGGATTAACTGGCGTTTATCATATTGGCCGAACAGTACTGCTAAGCACACCGACGTAACCGCGGCTTTCGTTTTATTGAACGTCTACAGAGTGCCCCACCTCTATAGACGCATGCTGTATACAACGACGGAAAATAGCCGCTACTACCGTTGTGTCTGCTGGCTTCGCCGTTTAGCAACTAGTCTATCTCGTATGCCTGAGCAGAAACCACTGGCGTGCAGAGCGTCCTAAGGAAGAGGACTGCTAATAGTTGATCAATATGCGAGCAGCGCCGTCGCCGCAGGCGCCATCCATTCACCGTTTTCTGCCTCGCCTTGTGGTTGCCTAGCAGTTTAAACTCATCGACCCTACCGACGGGACACGATGCGATGTGGTGCAGTGAAATGCTTCGTTCCACGGCACCAGCAAGAAGATGCGGAAAAAGGCATGGAGGAAGAGGGCAAGGAAGTTGAACGAATACCTTCCTTCAGCGTCAGTTGGATCCCGACGGTCAGGATCCGCTGATTTTAGTTTAACATGACAAGAAACAGCAGTAATAGCAACAGGAGAGAGCTAAAGACTTCGACGAAACGTTTACTAAACCACATCTTAAGTCTAAGTCGTTCAACCTCTGCCATTACGCTATAGCCGCGTTCATTTTGTTAGTCAACCTAGTTTTTCAATTCGATGTCGGCCTCAGCCTTTCCAGTTGATAAATTGTGGAAGTAACACTGAAACGGTAAGCCACCGAAGGGAAAGAAAAACGCCTTGAAATCGCCTACCGAGTGCTGTTTTTTTTTCAAAAATATGATGAAGGACATTAAATAGATGTGAAAGGAAAGAACTCGCAGATATATCAAATTATATATACTTCATTTACTGTCCGTTTTCCGTTATTTTTAGTAGACGTGGAGCTTTTTATGGCGGGTGATACAAATTAATGTGAATTAGCCATGTGTTAATGCATTATGGTACTGTTGTATCAAATGTAATCTAGACCGAACGATAAGGCCTAGTTATGAAGCGTTCAGTGATGGAGAACGCGGATGGAATTTAAAGCTCAAACTAAGGAATAAGAGTCTGAAAGGTGGAAAATCTCACTTTTCTACGTATATCTAAGTTAAATAAAATTTGTTTAAAAAGGCTGTCTAGAAAATAGCGGCACATTCTGCCTTTTTAAAAATCTCATGTAATAGAGTTTGTTATTGTACTGATACAGTATAATCCTTTTAGATAATCCCCACCATACGTATTCCTTTCTCGAGATTCAATACTCGGGCGGAAAGCCACCACGATTGGTAATCACGAGTTGCGGGATCTAATGTAATCAT